TTCCCTTCGAAACAAATCAATTTTGGAGACGAAAAACGGCAGGAATTAAGTTCAACACCTAATACATACAAAAAGCAGAAGCATAACAATGTTACAAAGCGCGCACTCGTAGTAAAATTAATCGTCCATCGATAGCACCGCTATGTGAAACAATAATTTTGCGAAATAATCTTCCCTAATAATTTCTTGACACGGCATTTTCGCACGGGATAAATATTCGAAAGAGAAATCTTGGAATTTGAAGAGCTACCGTATAAAATCCCGAAGCATTCGCCGTGACGCAAATATCGCGCGTATAAGGGGTGAGGTCGTTTCCAAGAGGCTCCCACGGGGCTGGTAAACTCCCTTCCACGGACATTACGGTAAACGCGCGTTTCCGTGACTTTTTAATCGTCGAGGTAGGCGGACGCGCGGCACAGGCGGTGGAGTAACTGCTCGTTTCGTCCCTGGCCGAGCCGAGTGAATAATTCACCTCGATCGATCCGCAACGACGGCGAGCGCGCGGCGGCGGAATTAATTTAAGTAATTCGACGATCGCTATCGACTGAAGCATTAAATAAAGCACCGTGTGTCCCGCTTTGGGCGAGCCGCGCGTTTAGATTGTAGATCGCCGTGGAAGCCGAGGACGCGAGGGATCCGCGCGCCCCCGTCCTTGCCGTCCACGCAAGCCATCGTTGCATACCTGAGTGGGTTGATCAGGATGAGTGGATCGTCATCCATTTCCATGGCTGTCATTACGTCAAGAAGTCGCGACATATCGCGGGTTGTTTGCCGACCCGTTTTCATCTCCCTCCCTCTGTATATACGGTATACGTCCGATACGTCCGACTACCCACACCTGTCTCCATGAAAATGACGATTTCTGTTTTCAGACGAGTACTTCCCCGACGATATTATTATTGCCGACTCGCTCATGACTAACCAAACGTCAACGTCAAGCTCCTTAATGTCAAATGAAAATTACACGCTCGCCGGCCGATGAAGGTTTACATCGCGAAACGTCACGATTATGACGTTATTACGGACATTAGAGCTCTCGTCAAAGTAAATAGAACAGCGGAAAAATAAACTTGCAAATTACTACGTTACTATAATTACTGTATTACTCGTTATTATGTTTAATAAAAATTGTGTTAAGGTATATTGCTTCCCCTTCTCTCTTGCTGACCGATAAAGAAATATACGAGAGGTAGTTGGATGTAGAAAAAAACCTTTTGATTTTCTATTTATAAAATACGACTACCACTTATTTTGAACTTTATGTAAGGATACAAGTGTATATTCTTTAATATTTGCTGCAGCTTATTTGCTGCGATAACAACACAACTCAAAAACAAAGAAAATAAATTTAAATGTTTTGAATCATTGAAATTTTGCAATAATAATTTTGAAATGTAATTTGGATGTAATAACCGACTGTAAAAGAGGATGAAAGTATAATTTTTTAGAATATTCTTTTTTTCTTGTTACCGTTCTTTTTCTGCCAGCAATGCAAAATGATAATTTCAAGTTGTGCCGTGTTGTAGCAAATAAGGGACACGTCCCATTAATAAAAAGTTAATTATCAAAATTTTGTCGCCAGGAACGAGAGGCTGAGAAGATCGCCGAGGAAGCCGCGGCTTTGCGCGACGTGAAAACGGAATTACCACCGGCGAGAAGTCCCGAGACCTGGCACGGCAGTGCCTACTATCGACATCTCAATGTTCTGAAGGGTGAGCAAGAGATTTGGTCGTGCAATTAGCTTTTGGAGTTCGAGAGAAATCCTTTCGATGAATCAAAGCATCGGAAACGACGCTGACTTCGTCTATGATGAAACATTTACGACGAAGACTTCCTAAATTAATTATTCATAAATCTAATTAAAGAATATTTTAAACTTATTAACTTGAGAATAAATCGTACCGATGAGCAGATAGATAATTAATTGAACAAATATATATAAACTTCGAAAATATTTTAATATGTGAAACGAGGCAGCAAAAATATAGAATTTTGTAATGTAACGAATATCAGCATGTTATAAATTACCATGATAAATTGAAAACGTCACAGATTCAGAATGTACCAACGGGATAATTCCTGGAATTTCCAGAGACGACATTTCCAATTAACGTCGCACGAAATGCGCTTTTCCGGGATATAATTCAGAATTCCGCGTCGGGCCTCGGGCCTCAGTCGATGTCGTGGAAAATCGTCTCTCTCGCGCATTTTCACGAACGGGCAGCTCGCGCTGCGTTTACACGTTATTTTCGCATGAATAACTGGAAAGTTCGCAGTGGATTCAATGCCTGCGCGCACCATTCTATATAGAGCGCTGCCCTCATTGATATTAGTAATTAATTAGTAACTACCATGAATCAAACGGTGAGAAGATCGGAGTTCCAATTAATTAGAGTAATTAGTCGCGACCGGAGTGTTAAGTGGGAACGCGCGGAGGGTTGCCTTGATATTCAGACGCGGAGGTGGATCTTCCAGGCTGTAATAACGCGGAAATGGGGTGCGGATGGCCCTTCGGCCGGCCAAGGGGCGTGATTTGCGTCGACGCTTGCGCGTATCTACGGTAGCCGTTGCCGACGTCAAGTTCCGTCGGCGTCGCGACGCTCGCGATTCCAAGCCCGACAACGAGATGCATCGCTATACCGTACGGTGATACGTGTTTCCTTCGGATTAACTGGGATTGTAGCGAGCAGCCGTTGCCAGCTATGGCTGCAGGTAGAATCAAGTCAGAATCTAAGTAGACGAATTTTAATTAATGTTCATTTTTAAATGTGTTGTATACCACAAAAATATTATATTGTTAGAAAAAACATTTTTTTTTCTTGGAAGATAAGCGGTTTTGCGTAATTCTTACAAGTCTTTAGGCTTGTAAGAATATCGTATGTCAATATGAAATATAAATAAAAAGTTCAAAAATGAAAAAAAAAAGTTTATTTATAACTGAATTGAAAAATTAAATTCAAAATTTAATTCTTTTCCTTTAAAATCGTCGGTATCTTTTATTATATGGAAATTCTTCTCGACGATACCTGACGAGCGCGATACGATGATATAATATGTAAGCACAGAGAACATATCTACAAATACGACGCGCGTTTCAGATGAGACAGCACATACACATTTTTATGTACGCGCATACACACATCGTGTTTACATGTACATTACTCGAAGTATATCGATAGACCCATTCAACGCGGGCGTAAGCCGAAAATAACGAGATAGGTGCCGCATCGACGCAATGAATACGAATACAGGATCATTGGCAGTGAACGCAGGCACTTTGACTAACGTACAGCCGTCGGTAAAAGCCCGCAGTTCCTTCTTTTCCTTCTCTGCAGCGACCGCAGGATCTTTATAGAGCACGTTTTTCAAGCCTGTCATGCGAAAAAAAATTCACCCTCTCGTCCGATTCTGTCGTTTTTGTGCAAATTAGTCGAATGAGACTAATCGGTCTACGAATGAACCTTTTGTGAATCCCGAACATTCCCCTTTAACTTTAATTTTATCGACATATCTGTAAGAAAAAGATGTAATCCTATGGAATTTATAGGGATTACTATCTGCCACTGAATTAGAATTATACTTCTGCATTTGCACATTTATAAATTTTACTTCAATTCTTAAATTTTAAATTTTAGGAAATCAAATTAATTATCTTCGAAACGAAAGTAAAAGGTATATTTTCGGTAATAGAAAGAGATAACGTTATACGCCATTTTTTTTTTTAAGAAACAGTCGCGCGTCCACGAAGGGTTGATTTCACATAACGCGTCATCCTAATTGTAGTATAATTAATACTAATATTATCCGTCAATGTTAAACTGACAAGACCCCGCTAATTACCGGATGATAATTATTGCAGGGAACGAGTCGACCGCGGAAAGGGCAGGCTCTGATTGCTCGGCTTGCCGTCCTCCACGCGGTATATTTTACAGCCAAGTCCACAGTCCGTCCGCGCCGACCAATTAATCGAGTTGGATTGGCTGAATTAATCGATACGCAGGAGCAGCAGAACGTACGAAGAGGAGAACACATTTAACCCGAACCGTTCCGTAAGCTTGCGACACGTCCGTTGCCTTAAAGCACAGTCTCGTCGATCTCTATATCCTCGAATTTTAAGGGTTGGGGCGCAACAATGGTCTAATGCCTTTTCAAGGACTTGAGGAGATTAATCTTGAAGAATTGAATTAGATTTAATTAATTAGATTAATCAAACTAAACGGATTAATATTAATAAATTAAATGTAGCATAATTCACATAAATCGAATTTTCAACAAATACTATTCAAGTCTAGTCTAAACTAATGTTCCCCGATGTCTTCTAAAACAAAAACGCGTTGAAACAGTGTTGCGTCAGATCCTTCAATTTCTAATTCGCTTCACGTTCGCGGTATTTGCTGAAATCGGGCCCAGTTTTATAGTTGTAAGGCCCTTCTCCGCGCAAAATGTGGACCCGTCATTAGCAAACGTTATAGCAAATATTTCGTCTTACGTATTTGTGATACCGGCTAGGAACAGGCATCGATTTTATCGTGTCGTCAAGTGGCAGCTCCTTGTCATGTCCAGTAATGGATCTCTTTACTGGTAGGACAATGATTCATTTTAGCAGGATGTTTACGCGTTTCGTCCTTTTACGGCGTCGTAAGCAGACGAATAAATCGATCGAATCGAGAAGCTTGGCAGGAAAACTTGCGAGGTACTCGTTGTGAATATAGAGCGGCGCTAGAATAATGTTCGCCGGAGACGCTATCGTCTTCGATAGAGCGAAGAAGGAAGTTACGTTGACATTTACGAATCCGACGATTTCCAAGCGGATTCGTTAATCTAGTCTCGTATTACTCCAATTGTCGTAATTTTCTAGTAAAATTCGCGAGAAGCTCAATATAACACGTACGTATAGAAAATGCAGTTGAATGAGAACAATCGTCACTCCGATATAATGGAGATGCGTGATTTACATTCTAGAATTTATTCTTCGTATTAATTTTCTTCGGAAACAAGGAAAGAATTCGAGAAAACCCGCGAAACGCACAATCTTTCGAAAGAATTCGATAAATTTGAATGAGCTACATGGAAATAACAATTTTGCTGAAGTATCTAAAAATTTAATTTAAAGATCAGATCCGGAAATAGTTTGGTTGGACCATCGAAATAATTACACAGGAATCTCAAGCATGACGAGCAATGCTACAAAACGTTTTAACGTTCGTAGCAACGAGTTTGAGCGTCCTAAATAATTATTTTGATAGTCCAACAAAATTATTTCTAAATCTGTATCTAGATAAATTTTTAGATAATTCAACAAAACTATCCTTTTGTACATCCTTATGTACCTTTAATGTCTTTTACTTAATAAAAAAAATTCGGAAATATGCTCTTAAATATTCGTGTCTTTCATTTTGCAAAGTGTTTCGATAAAACTAGACACTATATTAATTTTCCAATAATATAGGATTTTTTTGTCATAAATTTATGAAAACAACTGATTGTTATTTTTATTATCAAGAACTGCTAATAAAAACTAATTATTTAATGACGACTACTTTTAAAGAATTTTATTAACTTATTATATACACATGAAGTTTCTTTAAATAACATTTTTAACGAAAAATTTGACGTTTTAATACGGGAATTGATTTAATTCAGAATTTGAGTCATGCATTCCTAACGTAATACATCCAGAATACGTTCTATTTGACGCTCATAATGCTCGCGAGTATCAAATCATTTGCCCTTGTTTAACATTTGATAAACAACAAGGATGAAATAATTCCAAGAGCGTTACGAGTATCAAGTGGAATGTAGCTCTAATATAATACGTCTCATTGTCAGAGACGAACATCGGTTACGTCGACTCACAGTAATCCATCGTGATTTTTATTGCGTCGAGAGTTCCATCGCGACGCTAATTGCTCCCGGCGCATCGAGCAGCCAGTGTAGCTTAGAATCGATAGACATTTACCGCGAGAGGACGATATACAACAGTGCAATTATACTCCGTTGCGTAATCGATTTAGGCTGATCGAGATGAACTGGATACGAAATTAGAAAAGAAAACAAAATCCCCCGCGCTTTACGCCGTAGGCCGCAGCTGTAAGTACCGCCACTCTAGTAGATTAACATACGTAAGTTGCATCATTGAACATATTGTAGATGACAGCGTGTGTGAAAATAAACCACGAGTGTAATCCAAGATTCTAATAAAAGATCTTGATCGCTGGAAGCTTCACGACGTAATTACTTTTGCCCCACCAGTAAATCACAATCTGTGTCATGTATAATGCATAACTCTTATTTGATTTGTGATATAATTCTATCTGTATGTTATTTTACTAGATTTTCTTTAATTAAGAACAGTTTCCCAATAATTTCCTTTATAAAAATTGAATGATGATAGCTCTTTTCAAAAGGTATTTGAACAGTTTATTCAAGTTGCAGTTGAAACAACACGATATACTCGAGAAACTGATTAAATAATAATTATTTTATTTATGATATTAATCTATCAGATTTTTCTTTAATTAAATAATAACTTTTTAAATAACATTTTCTTCGTAAAAATCCTTACAAAACAATCATGATGTAATCAAATAATAATTATTCTGTCTGTAATATTATTTCATCAAATTTTCCTTAATTAAAATTAGTTTCTCCAACAATACCCTCAATAATTAGAACTAATTTCCTCAACAATACTACTCTCATAAAAATCAAACGATAATAACTTTTTACAAAAAAATGTAATCAATCCATTCAAATTGTAACTAAAATGTCAACACAGATTTACGAAAATGATCGAATAACAATTATATACGGCTAATTAATTCGGAGAAGACAATCAACGAAAATGGCTTTTCAAAATCATAAAAAATAAATATCTTTGAACTTACTACAGTTATCTTTGTCTAAACTTTCAATAGATGTTCTTATAACATTAGTACGATTTGATCAATCTTATGAATGATTGTACATCAAACTCGACGCGATTCCTTTCAAAATAAAAGGTGTGATTTCATCAATGCTTCTTTCGCACGATACTCCTTATTCACTTTTAGCGACGCTCGTTATTGCACTAAAACCACCGATATATTATCAGAAGAGCCACGCTCCGACCGTTTCCCCGCAAGAAACAAATCTTTTTCAATTATGGAAGGAACAGCCGCGTTGCAGGACGTACGGTGTAATCTTGGCCGTCGCTTATATCCCGGCCCGTGCAAAATCCTTGGGGAGCCCTCCCGAGCTTCGTGGTACGTAAGGACGCTTCAGTGAGCAAAAACCCTTAACTGATACAGCCCTGCTGCGGTCCCCGGACGATCGTCAGCAGAATTCCGGATCTGGACCACACATGGTACTTACGCAAGGCTCTCGAAAGTAGTAAGCACAAAGGTTACTCTGAAATGTACAATTGATAGAATACGTATCCAGATGTAATCTTTCTACGATGTTAAATGCAGTAAGAAAGTACAATCAATTATTACAAAAAAGAATTGTCGGGCTCTTCTTAAAATTGTTAATATTTGTTTATATATTTATATTGAGATAAAAAAATCTTAAATAACATTTGTTATTATTTTCATTATTAATTATGAATTTGAAAGAAAATCAAAAATTCAGCGCATATATTGGTTAAGTGTTTAAAAAATCAATCATCATAACTAGATTTTGTAATATTATATTTAATTTTTTCTGTTCCCCCCCCTCTCTCTCTCTCTCTCTGTCTGTCTGTCTGTCTTTATCTCTTTTTGTATTTCTCTTGATATTTAGTTTTAAGTGAAGCTAAAAAAAAAATGAAAGAAATTTTTCTCCTATAAGAAAGAAAAGATTAAAGCTTCAATGCAATGCGGATTCTGTGTAATATCGTTACTGAATGGATCATGGCAAGAGAGTGTCAATAATAGACGTCCGGAAAAGCATCGTCTGCGTCTAATGTTCCGGCAAATTGGCTTCGCGAATGTAGCCTCGCGAGTCGTCTCCCAGGAGGAATCTGCAAGTACGAGCGGAAGATTCTTCTCGTTGCGCCGATTTTTTTTCCCGTAAGTACGTCACGTCTCGACGATACCGGAGGATATATCCCGTCCGCGCGCGCCTCGCCGAAATCGGCTCCGTTTCGCGAAGCCAACCAACCCTATAACTGGAAGAATTTGTAAGGAAACGAGAGACGCGCGCGAAGATTCTCTTCACAATCGCGCACGTAAACGCTCTCATGGCTGCGTACAATTGCCTGGAAAAAAAGGAGATATACAGCCAAAAAAAAAAAAGAACGGAACAGAAAATTGTGGTAAGTCAAACTGGTCGGCGTTCAGATGTTGAAATAAAAGATGTAATGAGATCTAATCGCCATAATAAAACGTTAAAAAATGTGTAACATCTTTTTACCCTCGTAATTTTGTTTATACAGCTTAATTTATTTTCTAATTTATTTAAATGTATTTCGTCGTAAATTACATTGAAACAGAGATGCTGCGCGAATAAACCGCTGTTTTCAAAGAAGGAAAAAATTCCCCCGGGGGAAGAACGTAAATTAGGATTTGAGAAAGAAATCGACGATGGTATCGCGAATCGATTCGTTTCGCGCCACTTACGTGCGCTTCTCATCTCGCGCAAAGGTCGCGTATAACGAGCCGCGGTTTAAATACCCGCTTCAATCGTCCACAATAGGGACGTCGGAGCGGCGGGTATTTAAAGAAATATTTTAATTGCAGGACGTAAGCCGCTTACGTGTCCCCTCTCTCGTACGTTAATAAAAACAGCTCCATCCCCGTCTATTTCAAGAAAGCGGCTCGCATTGCGTGACCTCGTGGAAAGTAATTCGACCTCTTCTCATTTCGCTCAACCAAAAATTATTCGCCCGGCATCACCCTCGCTTTCTTAGAAAGAAAAGCAGTTTGATTAGAAATCGCAATTCCGCGCTGAGTTAAACAACTTCCTTCTTGATTAGAAATTCCCATTCTCTCCCTTAGGGAGATTTTTATAAATTTCTCTGTCAATTGATCAATCAAAATTAAGAGGTTTTCGACGTACAGTGAATTACAAATTTTCCACTCCCTTTCTCTCTTGTTGCAGAAAAATTGTATCAATCACAGTAGCACATGGTTTTTTAACGTTTCCCTTTTTTCTAAATCAGTTGGAGGCTTCGTATTTTTCCAGTATACAATCATTTTTATAAT